CATTCATTTTTGTAATGTCCAGGTTCTTTACATTCATAACAGACAACCTCCTTTTTGCCAGATCTTCTGTGTCCAGAAGATTCTTTTCTTTGGTCAGGCTTCCTGAAGTTTATGAACTTCTTCCCATTATGCTTCCAGAGTTTGTTTATTCTTCTAGACAACATGGATAGTTCATCTTCATCTTCAGATGAGGATTCTTCAGAGCTTTCCTCTATTACCTGCAATGCTTTAGCAGATTTATTAGATTTTAAAGCAACAGATTTACCTTTCTTTTGAGGTTCATCTTCCTCAAGTTCAATTTCATGACTTCTTAGTGAACTGATTAGTTCCTCCAAGGAGATCTTGTTCAGATCTTTAGCCATTTTCAGCGCAGTCACCATAGGTCTCCATCTGGTAGGTAAGCTTCTGATGATCTTTTTCACATGATCAGCAGTAGAGTATCCTTTATCCAGAACCTTTAGTCCAGCTGTAAGTATTTGAAATCTGGAGAACATAGCTTCAACAGATTCAGAGTCTTCCATCTTGAAGGCTTCATACTTCTGGATTAGAGCTAGAGCCTTTGTTTCCTTGACTTGAGAGTTTCCCTCATGAGTCATCTTTAAGGACTCAAACATGTCAAATGCAGTTTCCCTATTTGTAATTTTTTCATACTCAGTGTGACATATTGCATTTAACAATATTGTTCTGGCCTTGTGGTGATTTCTAAATTCCTTCTTCTGAGCATCTGTCATAGATTTTCTGTCTACTTTCTTGCCATTCCCATCAGTGGGATGAACATATCCATCTATGACCAGATCCCATAAATCAGCATCATATCCAAGGAAAAAACTTTCAATCCTGTCTTTCCAATAATCAAATTTCTCCCCATCAAACATAGGGGGTTTGGTGCTGATTCTGTCCCTTTCTTCATATTTGTTGTTAGTGTTAGACATTGTATTATCAGCAATAGTAACAACCAAATATATATCAAAGTTTTTCTCACTGGATCTTTACTGTCACTGTGAAGTGGTAGCACACACAGAACCGGAGCTCTGATGCCAACAGAAGGTCAGAAAATACTTAGAAGGGGGGTTGAATAAGTATGAAGATAAAAACTTAGAAATAAAAACTCAAGTATTTTTATCCTGGTTCGTTGAACTCAACTACTCCAATCCACCCTTCCTAGAGTGATTTGCATTTCTCAATCAAGGACTTAATCCACTAATTAATCAACTGATTACAATAGTAAGCACTTAGAACAACTGTTCAAAGTCTTCTCAAGAACTACTGATCCTAACTGGATCTTCTTAAGGTTTTCTTACAATCAAATGTAATAACAAATACAAGTGTTTAAATTGCTTCTAATAAAGCTTTATCACAACTGTGATTTTTCACTTAAAGTTAAGAACAAAGAAATTAATTCTAGAAAGAATGTGAATAGTATGAGAGCTTTGAATATTAATTTCTTTTCAGGTAAAAACGTCAACTGAAGAAGATGGGTGAAGACTTGCTTTTATAGGCAGCTTGTTCCAAGAGGTCTTCACGTTGAGAAGAGTGTCCAAAAGGTCTGAGCCTTTTTGTCTTCACATCAAGTGACCTTTCCTAGAAGAAGAAAGCACAGAGAAATCATTTTTGTCTGTGTTCTTGTGTCAAGCATAAATAAGGAAAGAGTCGTTTGGATTATTCCAACGGACATAATCTTTGAATTATTCTTCTTCAATTTTCAGCAGGATTCATCAGAGTCTAATTTGATCAGAGCCTTCTGATGTTGATCAGAGTTTTGCTGAATCAGAGTCTTTGCAGCAGGTGTGCTTTTAGCGTGAATAAGTTCAGAGCATATTTGAGTCAGATCTTCAGTACTGGCAGCTCTAGTACTTTCAGAATCTTCTGTAGTAACTATGCTTTGAAAACTCTTCATACAGAATTCATCTTTGGTTCAGATGCTTCTGACTTGCTTCAGATTCTTCTGGAGCTTCTGCTTCAGATCCTTCTGGAGGCTACGCTCAGGATCTTCTATTGGCAGCATTCAGAATCTTCTAATGGATGCATCTGGCGCTTCAGAGTCTAGCATATTTCTTATGTTCAGTTCTGATTTGCTTATGGAGTGATAATTTCTTTACTATCTGCAGTAAAAACTTTTAAGCAAATTTTAGAGTATATAATTCTTAATTACAAAATTTCATAATAGTTATCATCAAAACATAGAGATATTATTAAGAACCAATCTGTGTTCTAACAATACATAATACAAACCATTTAAAATTCAAGCATCAAGTTGCAACTGCTCAAAGCACGTCAAGGGTTTAAAGAAAAACTGAGAACAGTAGGATCATCATGGATTTGTGGCATAAAATGATCAATCTGTCACTTTGGTATATTGGTGTATTGTTTAAAGAGCTAACTACGAGATGAGATGCGGGCATTGAAGTTTTAGGTCAAGCCTTTACAATTGTGCTTCCAGGTTATGATCTTCAATTTTTAACTTTGATAAATGATTGCAATTGAAACTTATTATGTTACTTATCTTCTCTACTCAAATGCTTGTGACCTGCAGAAAGGAGAAGTCATATAATATCAATTTAAAATTTTGTTTAACTATATTACATAAGGATGCTTCAGAAGAAATCTAGGGCCATTTTGTTTTAACTTTAAAAAAATAGATTTTTTCTTTATATTTTTAAAAATAAATTCTAAAAAAAAATATTTTTCAAAATATTACAAGTTTTTATAAATTTGTTTTTTATAAATTTAAAGATAAATTTTAATATACTATAATATAAACATATATTATTGAAAATTAAAACATAGTAAAAATTACAGTTTTTTCAAAAAGTTGTAATTCAAAAATAATATTTATGAAAATCTATTTGAAATAGCTTTAAAATTAAGTAATTTTCTAAGGCAAAATATTCTTCTTGATCCCTTAACTATACCTCGGGGTTCATTTTGGTCCCTTAACTTTAAAAAGTTCCATATTGGTCCCTTAACTCTTCAAATGTTCCATATTAGTCCTTTTTGACCTATTAGCGACGGATTTAGCGACGGTTTTTTGATTTTTTTCCGTTGCTAATAGGTCAAAAAGGACTAATATGGAACGTTTGAAGAGTTAAGGGACCAATATGAAACTTTTTAAAGTTAAGGGACCAAAATAAACCCCGAGGTATAGTTAAGGGACCAAGAAGGATATTTTGCCATTTTTTAAAATTTTAACATCCAAAAAAGTTTTAATAAAATGATAAAATGCATAAAATAACATTATAAGAATGACTATTCAAATCAAATTTTCATTTGAATCTTTTATAAAAAATTTGTTTATAAAAATTTTTCCACTAAAATATATTATAGTATAAAAATCATTTTTGAAAAAAATAAACGGGCCTCTTGTATGATCAAAATATGAGAATCTAATTCTCAGGATCTGTAGATGTATCTCTAATGGATATAAAAATTAAATAATAATTATATACAAATTATCTACTTTAAATATCATAATCTTTTGTAAAGAGGGACAATTAAATACATTGAATCTCTACATTATTTATTTTTTTCTTTAACGTTAATCTTTTGTATTTAATTGTAGAGATCCAACTATATTTAATTGTTAAGAAAAACTCAAATTGAAAACACGGAAAAGTGAGTGTTTTCAGTAATGGCAAAAATGTAAATTACAGCAATTGAGAACTCTAACTAAACCTACAAATCTATGATCCAATTTGAGAACAAATGAAAGCAGGCTCTCTTCTATTCTCAAACACTAGCTAGCGCCAAAAGATTTGAAGAAGCTACTAGCATATGCGATTTTGATTTCTTTCGTAAGTTTTATTTCTCTTTTCTTCATCCAGATTTTTATTTATTTATTTTGGATTTCTTAGATTTGCGGTTCTAATATGGTTTTGAGATTATTTTAGACTTGTGATGTGACTGTGTCATTAATTTTGTCATGCAAAAATTAGGGTTTAATGTAGACTAGAGTGTGACTGATTATTTAAACTTAGTTTGCTTTATTTTACTTCACAATGAACTAAAATATATGATAGGATAAAAAGTATGTTAGATTTTTCCTTTAAATACTGTGTTGCTTTGAACTTTTATTTACATTAGCATCTCAAAATTTCTAAAGGGAATAAACAGTTGATTTCCTTAGCAAAAAGAGAGAGGATTGCAGACCTTTGATACTATATTCTTTAAAATATTTGATAAATGTGTTTCACTTATGATCAATAAACTATTATTAATAATAGAATTCTAGTTTTGTTTGATTGTTCCCAATTTGATTACAAAGTAATATGCCTCTAGTACTTATAGGGTCAACAAGTTACTTAGAGATAACTATTAAATTGTAAAGAAATCTTAAGTTTAAAAATATAATTTTTCTATTGCTTCTACCATAATTAATGTCAGCAACTTCTATATTAATTCCAGGCTTTCTCTTCTCTTGCCTTTTCCTAGCAAGTTTAATATTTTGTTGCAGTTAATATTTTCAACAGGTAATATTTAGTTGATATGTAGAATAGACTAATTTTGTGATTGAAATTATTTTTAGCATGATTATGTAAAAAATATTTTGTAACTGAATTTTCTGATTACTTTTTATCAAAAATATTCGAAAATGTGTTGTCAGGTACACATGAAATTATAGATATATGTACGTAATAGCTTGTCATAAGGATATTTTAGCTCCATTTGATGTTATTGTTTGTTTCTAAACATGTTTGTGATTTTAAAAAAACATAAAGAACACCGGTCATAATAAATATTTTTGTTGCGCCTGCCTCATTCTTGGATGCGCCTGTTTCTACTGGTGTGTTTGTCATTGCTACACAGGTAATATACCTCACACCCACTTTAATGGACCCATCTTTTAATTTAGAATTTTTGTTTTTTATTCTTCTTAATGATTATGTATGATTTTGTTCTATATTTTCTAAGTTAGTGCTTATTTTGATGATAGATGGCAACTAATGTTCAATATATAATGCAACTAATGTGCACCTTTTCAGAATCTCTATGATCAACTGAAGATGGCAAATCAGGACGAACATAATGAAACTAGGAATATGAATGCATTTTATGCATCTCTTGAATCATCAGAGACAACTTCTCCATCACATCTAGTACTTTTTAGTCCTAGTGAAAGTATCAAGAAAGCAATTCAAAGTCTCCAAGATTTATTCTCTAAAGATTTCTCTCTTTTGTTACACCCAGGGCGTTCTATAGAGATAAAAGATATACTAAAATACCTCCTCACATTCCCACAAAGTGAAGAATTCTGCACGACTACAAAAATAGAAATAAAGAAAATGTTACAATGTTTTGAACGATGGAGTTTGGAGTATCACGATGCATCAGGTCTTTCAGCAAATGCAAAAAGAGAACTATCAAAAGCAAGTGAAGTGATGAATGATCTTGAAGCTAATGTTAAAGAGTTCCATGAGACGAAGAAGGAGGAGACGTGTTTGTGTAATAAATTGGTTATCTTGGAGGAAAGGAAGAGAAAGCTTGAAGAAGAAATCAAAATGGTTAATGTTGAGATTGAAAAATCTAAAAGAAAAAGAGATGAGGTTGGTAGGAGAAAAATGGAACTGTATGAGAAAGGAAGAGAAGTGAAAGCCAAAAGGGATGAATTCCTGATAAATATTCCAAGGCTGAAGACTGAGCAACAATTGGCAACAATAACTCGAACTAATATTGAAGCGGAGTGGGTCAAGCTTCGACAAAAACTCACATTGCTTGTCGCTAGTTCCTCCTTGTTGTCTTCTTCTCCTTCCAGTACCTCAACTTCCACATCTTCTTCGCCACAACCACCATCACATACTTAGTCACGATGTCATTCTTCACATTCTGCATTTTTTTTACTGTCTCGATTATGCATTCATGCAGATTCTGCATTCATTCATGACTGATATTTTGAACAATCCATGACAAGGCATTTATTTTATTTTATTTTTATTTTATTAATAAAAATACTAAGCTTCAATATAAACTATGTGATACTGTTACTGGCATACTACTGTTGTTGCTGCTTGAACGTAAGGTTTGTTTGACTGCAGTGGAATGAAATAATTTGTTTACCTATTCCTTGCAAACTACTTTTGGTTTGAGTACTCTTGTAGAGTAGTTTCTTTTTTTCTATCAATATTTTTATTGGCATGATGTGGATTAAAACTTGATCTTAACTTGAATGAGTGGACTAAAAGAATTTGGATATTGAATCTATAAAATAAAATTGTCTTTAAAATGAAAGTCTTCCTAACAAAAAGAAGGAAAGTCATGTTGTAAAGCACTCTAAATATTATTTATGCAATATTTTATTTGTTTGTTTTAGCGGGAGGCCTCTAAATAAAAGAAAGAAAGTAATATTTAATGTAATTTGACCTCATACTCGTAATGGAAGTGGGTCATGTTGTCAACGCACCCTGAACAAGAATTTAAAGGAACTTTGAGTTACAACTATCTTAAACAATATTTTATTTACAATAATAAAACAAACAGTAATAGTATTTGGTCTAACACCAAATGAAGTCGTTATAGGTCTTTATAATTTCGGTTATAATTTTAAAAAAATTAACATCTTGAACTAGTTCGAATAATCATCACACAAATAGAAATCTATACTCAACAAAATCTATGTGGGATTTATATTTTTATTACATAATACACTTGCGTACTTGCAATTTTATATCAGAAAATGCCTCACAATTTATCTTAAACACCTTATGTTAAGGCAGCAAGAAAATGCTTCAATTGTAATCTTGCAAATATGGAAAAATGGAAAAAAGGTAGATTCTAAGTTTTTTTGAGTCACACTTCAAAAACATAATAATCAGGCTTATACTTTTAGGTGTGATCGGTTAATCTTCTGAATTTCTGTGATAAGTAGAAAAATAATGGACTACCTTATGAATTTGGCTAAGTTGTATATGAAAGTTATCATTCATCTCAAGGATAAGATGAACTTAGTGTTTTTCGAGTCTCTTAAGAATGAGACATCACCCATGTCTTCTCCCTTTGAAAGGAAGAGGAAGAGACCCATTTATGCTTTTTCATGTTCTCTTTATTAAGATTGTGAATTCAACCTCTTGAAAAAATGGATGTGAATGTTGTTGCACCCCAAAATTTGCCTAACCTTTTCTCACCTGGTTTATGTTTCATAGCATTAGCATATCATCATCATATCATTTTCATATCATAGAATTGTTCACCTGTGCAGGGGATCAGGTGGTGTTTATATCCAGAGAAGTCTATCTAGAGGTTTTATGCAAGCTTAAGAAGTCACCATGATCATCAGGAAAGGGGTTGGGTTCTTGAGGAGTTCAGTTGCTTGTATGGGGTTTATCTCCTAGCATGAGGAGCCATTTGAAGAGTATCAGAGGTTGTGGAGCCTTGGATGTGGATATGATGTATGGATAGAGCTCATGGAGTTCCTAGAGGATCAAGACAGAGCTCAATCAAATGTTTGTAGCAAGTACAAGAGTCACAGTGGAAGTTGGTGTCACTAGGGTTTCATCTGGTTAATCCTAAGCTAAAATGAGCAATTGAAGAAGATCAAAGCCTACTTCTAGGTCATTGAGATCATGAAATGATATTTTGAGGCATATGAGAGGTTGTTTCAAGATCAAGTTGAGAAGAATCAAGAGTGGTTGGAGTTGCTAAGTCAGGGTTCCTAGGGTAAAATCCCCTGTTTAGTGCCAAACTTCCAAGCCATGTAAGTCAAGATACCAGCCTCATATGACTTTGGCCTCCACATGAATGTTGTAGAGGATGTTCTTAGCTTTAATTTGAGTACTACAAGTCCTCCATTGGATTTATAGAACTCAAGTTATGATCCAGACAAGTTACAGGTCCTCAGATGCCTCTGAAATTTGTCTGTGAAAATCATCTGACTTCCAAGCTATTTTTGACCTAGGAGGGTGTTTCTCCTAAACTTTTGGCCAACATGAAAGTTGTTCCTCATGATCTTAGTTTTCCAAATTGTATTAGAAGTCTTCCATCTGATTTGTAGAACTCAAGTTATGAGGTTTACAAGTTAGGGGTATTTTGGGAAAGTGAGATTATAGACCATTTTCAACCATAGGTCAAAATCTCCAACTTGCACATGTCAAATGGATTTTTGTTCAACATGGAACTTGCTAAAAATATGGTTTTTAGGTCAACCAAGATCTCATGGTGAATTGGTTTGGCTCATATCAAAGATTGGCTTGAAGTGGTTTGGAAGAAAGAAGAAATTCAAAGGCATTTTGGTGGGAAATTCAAATAAATGGTTATGTGCACAAAATATGCCAAATGAGTACTTGATTTGATTAGAAATTATGTTTTAGAGACATTGGAAATTTTGGATTTTTTATTTGAAGTATAATTCATGGCCTTTCATAAGGTTTCTTCATTTATAAGTTACATCACACAAATCATTCACCAAGGCAAGTTGAAGGCTCTTTGTGGTCTGATTTCACTCAAGGATTGTTCAGCAAACTAACCAAAGCTTCCCAAGCAAGTTTTAGTGGGAATTTCATGCATGGCCATGTCAAACTTTTTGAAGGAAATTTGAAAATGGATCTTCTGAATTGGGCCTGGGCTGAACCTCTAGAAGCTTCCATGTTGTTCTATAAAGGTTAAGAAACTCATCTGGGAAAGGGTTGGTGATTCATTGGTGCTGAGATCAGAGATTGCCATTGGAGTTTGAAGAAGAAAAGTGAAAGATCGAATTTTTGATTGAGGTCATTTCAAGTGCAATTGAAGCTTCAATCTTCTTCTAGCATCATCGCTGAGTGGATCTGGAAAGTTTTGAAGCAAGATTCAAGCCAGAAACACCACAATCGAAGCTTAAAACCAGGTTTCCACTTCTTGAAATTGCACTCAATTCATGCGTTATTAATGCCTTAGATTCATGTGGTTAGGTTGCAAATAGGATGTAGATGATTTCTGGACAGAAAATTAGAGGATTAGTGACAAATTAAGCTTTGATCCGTTTTCGGTTTGGACATAGAGTTCTTGAATCTTGGAGTTTTAGATCATTTAATTAGTATGGTTGTAATCCTCTTGAAATTTCACACAAGTTTCATTCAAAAATCATTGTGTTTGGTGGAATATTGAGAGAGATAGGGGGACGCGAGCTTCTCCGGCGAAGCTCCGGCCGTTCGCGCCGAAAACTGAGTTTCCCTCCCCTGCAGAATTTTGAAATGGAGAAGATGAAATCTCCATCATTCACGCGTGAGAAGAGAGTGGACTAAGTCATCATATCCTACGATGCTGAGCGCGCCACGTAACCACCTCCCCTAAACGCATCGTTTCAATTAGTGTTCTTCTCAGCGCGCTATGTGAACATGAGGAGCGTGTGTTCGAATTCTCTCGTGGTTGTTTTTGATTAATTGAGAGAAAACTGAGATGAATTAATTTGTGTTGGGCCTTGGGTTTTGCTACTATGCGCACCTCCCTAGCAGGCCCAAGCATGAAATACACTTGGAATAACCACTTAATACACCTCCCTGGTCACGTTATTAGGAAAGTATTTTGTTGAATTAATTCCTCCAATGGGCCTAGCGCCCATGCTTTTTACACCCCCTCTCATGGGCCCAGGCGTGAATTGTACGTGGATTAGCTGCTAGTTGAACCCCTCCCTTATTTCTTCTAATTTTCTTTTATTTTATTTTTTAGTTTAATTGCTTTTGAGAATTAATTCATAAAAAATAGTGAATATCATAAATAAATTCTGGAAAAATTGTGATTATAGATTGAGATGTTCAGGATTTTATCATGCTTTGTATTTTAATTTTCCATACATTTTCCATTTTATTTCATATTTTCTGTATAGTGCACTTTTAATAGTGAAATAATGTTGTTCTGAATTTGTTGATTTTCTTTCTCTCTCATATTTTGGAGTTTGATCTTGGAATTTTGTGTGCTGGCTATATACATGTTAATGTTGCTATGTGATTTTTGTTTTGTTTTTTAGATCATTTTAAATAGGATTTTAGGGTAGTTGTTTAGGAGTGTTCTTTAGTGAATTCCTTTAGTGCACCCTTGAAGTTTTGGATTTAATTTGGGCATTTTGATTTAGATTTAACTTCTAATTTTTCTACTATGGAATGTTGACACATATAGGATGAGGTGGTATTTTCCTTAGAATTTTTAAGAGCAATTTTCCATTAGTTCCCCATTTTACAAATTGACCTTAGAATAGATGATCATTAGGAGATAACATTTGATGTTCTTTAGAGATTCAAGTAGGTGATGACATTTCCCTAGGATTAGTTCCCTTTCAAATACTCCTTGTTTAATTAGGATCCTTCATTGTGGGTATAATTCCTCCTGTGGAGGAATTCCCTGCCTTTCACATTGGAGTTGAGCCTAAGCAAGCTCTCTAAAGGAAATGGATTCGGTTGAGTGTCTGTGGTAGGTTCCTGTGGAACTTACCTTGCTTCTCATTTCCATTTTCCTAAAGTTCCCTCATTCTTTCCTCTTTAGGAACCTTCTTGAAGTAGAACAGTCCCTCCTGTGGGGGGAATATGGCACACCTCTTGAAGGAGCCAAACCCTTAGGTTTCCCCAAAGATCTTTTTGTTGGTTGAATGCCTGGGATAAGCTCCTGTGGAACTTACCCTTGCCTCCCAACACCCAATTTCATTCTATAGGATAAAAGCTTCTTTGATTGCTTGTCATAGACTCCTTTCGTTCTCTTGAAGATGGTGGACTTGAAGAACAGATACAGACTTTGGATTGGATTGCTTCCAGAAGACTGCTCTGTTGTGGAGATTGCTGGCTTGTTTTCCCTGTCTATTTTCTTCTTGTTTAACTGTATTGATGTGTATTAATGTGACTTGCTT